ACTCGCAGCACGTCGCTCTTTCAGCTGCGCGTCCCAATCCCATGCAGCTGCTGCAGCATGCTGTTTCCTAGCTTCCAATTGAACCGATTTCAATGGGAACTCCTGGGAGGTTACGAATGAATGATTTGTTATGATTTGTTGATTTAGAGGGCCCAAACTCGATGCCGAAAAATGGTGTCTTGCAAGGGCCTCGCCAGTTGCTACTTTCTGTTTTCCATGCACGTTTGGACAGCATGCTCACCCCACTTGGAGTTCGCCGCTGGGGTTCACATCAATCTTCAGATGTTCGGGAAGCAAATTTTTCTGCGGTGCTGAAGCAGGTGGCAGGAAGAACAAATCACATATACCAGCTGCAGCTCGAGACGACGCCTGGAGCCCGGCATCTGTGATGGAGTTGCTGAACACCCTCAAGTCGCTGAGCTTCGCATGTGGCCGCAGCGCGCTGGCCAGGGCCTCGCCCCACGTGCCCCATGCCGCAAGCAACATGCGCTGCATGGACTTGCCCTCTTTCCACAAACAAAAACCTTACAATCCAATTGAACTGGCTGGCAGCCCCAACCTTCCAGCAAACCATCCGCGCACAGGATGCCCCGTGCCAAGCCTTGATGCCACCGTCGCCAATGCGGTTTCCGTAGAGCATCAGCGCCTTCAAGGCCGCGTGTCCGCCCAGGCCAGCAGCGAGAGCCTGCCCCGCACCCCCCAGTCTGAAGACCAGGTGCATTTACGATAACGAAAGTTTTGTGGACTGTGTGGACGGAAGGAAAATCGATCGCTGATGCCGGGGGCGAGGGCTTTCATGCAGGTTCCCTGAACTTGCTTTGGCTGTGCCGATGAGCCTAAAGAACGTCTTCCTGATCCCCCGAGCCCCATTGACAATCCGTCACAACTGAATGACAGGTTTGTCCTGTGTGTTTTGCTGCTTCGTAATGATTGGCGCCGTGATTGGTGCTTGAGCACGTCGGAGTTCGGGGGCCCTGGGCTTGGTTTATCCTGGCCCGGCTGCCGGGCCCAGAAACCAGAAGTCGCGAAAAGAAAAACACTGCAGATCCTTCGGCGCGGCTCCCAGGGCCTCTAGACTCGAGAGAAGTTGGGGAGAGTGAGGCCCAAGCTGCCAGAAAACTTGCGCCAAATGCTGAACTTTGCATGTTTTCAGGCGCTCTTAGCATGAGGTGACTTGCCTGAATGTCGAAAGTTCGGCTTGCGGCATTTCTCATTTGCAGTGTGCATGGCTCCATCTGCCAAAATAGAATTCCTCACGTGCTGGCACTGACTCACGGGTCCCTTTAAATTCAAGAGTTTGACAAGGCCTCCGAAGTTTGTAGAACAAACTTGTACGCCGTTCTTTCTGGGAGATGAGCCTATATAGACCTCTTCCTGAAACCTTTAGCCCCATTGAGAAGCCGCCACAACTGCGACGGAGGATGAGCATGGCTGGTGCCGTGGTTGGCGCTTGAGCGTGTCGGAGTTCGGGGGCCTGGGCTTGGTAATTTTCCTGGGCCCGGCTGCCGGGCTCAGAAACCAAAAGTCGTCAAAAGACGAAAACAGAATGACAACGCACCACCACGAGTATAAATGGGGTGGAGGACGAACAGTGCACCACTACAGGAAGTGCACGGACCATGGACCAACCTGCCTCCACCATCCCTGACGAGGGGATACGATTGGAGGCCAGCAGCGTTTTCAAGTTGCCCTTGGGTCTTTGAAAAGGGAGTGAAGTAATTTCTTGTCGTTAAGATCTGTATACAGGGCACAGACCTAAGCCCAGGCTTCCCAACCCCCTCCTGCGCTGCTTTTGCCAACAGAATGCACAGCCCTCCTCTCCCCGACTCTCGGACCCTGGGGCCTGCAAATCCCAACTTGATCAACTCCAGGCCTGCGCCCCCACATCGCCGAAGCCGTTGTTGCCCAGGCTTAGTTCTCGTAGGTGCTTGTGGCCTGCGAGGCCCTCGGCGATGGCCTGCATGGGGACAGGCCACGGGCAGAAGCACGCCTTCGGCCCTCATTCTGGCCATCACGTCGCCGGATGTCTGAAAATATCTTCAGGGCCTCTATACAGCACCGACTCGACAACTTTCCCCCTCCCAAGGCCTGGAGGCCGCTGTCGCCGATGCGATTGCCGAACAGCCACAGCACCCGCAGCGAGGAGTGGCCGCCCAGACCAGCTCCAAGCGCCTGCGCAGACGACCGAATCTATGGACTCTTTTGTCTTTTGGAAACGGTGTAGGCATCATGGGCTGGCCGGGCAAGTACCCTTATCCGGGGATTCTATAGGATAGCCAAGTTCTGTTTCCTAGGCTTGGCGGCACGTGGTTGTAGAACCCTCCCACAAACTGGGAAAGTCCTTGCTGAAACCCAAGGCATATCCTCTCCGCAGGGTCTCCCGCACCCGACCCCCCCTCCCCCGCGGGCTCGCGCATGCAGGCCAACAAAGGGGGCGTAGAGTACCGACAATGGCCGGAAGAAACTATATGTATTGCAAGTTATGCTTGGCGCAGGACGAGTATTGGAATTGTGACAGTACTTCAATGGGCAAGATCTGATATTTTTGATCCTTAAGGGGGTTGTCGGTGCGAAGCAAGGGTATTGCAGATAGCTTCGCCTCTTAGGGGGTTGTCGGACAAGAAAGGGTATTGCAGATATCTTGGTGTTCTAAGTGTGGATCTCTTACGGGGTTGCCGGTGCTGCAATCAACAGCATATCCTGAAGCCGAGTGTGGTGTAGTCACGTCACAAACAAACGCACTTTGGCGAGTTCCCTCCACCCCCGAGAACAGCAGCCAGACACCGAAGCCCATCTTCATGAAATGGGAGAAAAGGTGACCTTCTTGAAAAGCAGGTTTCTGGGCCACTTCAGCGTGTTTCAGACATAGTGGCGGCATGTGGCAGACGTTTCGGACATTGAAGGTTCCATGTCCCGGGTGTCGCTGGCGCCGCGGCGAGACCATAATGTTTCGAGAATCTCCCGTGAACGAAAATGGCCGATCGTTTGATATTGTTTGCACGTTGCTGTGCGGAGGTGGACGAGTCTGCGGGCTTGCGCTTGCAAAACAATCAGGCTCTCTTAGCATGAGGTGATTGGCCTGCAGCATCGCGAATTTGCGGTGCAGTGCATGGCTCCACCTGCCAGAATAGGATTCCTCACGTGCTGGCGCTGACTCTCAGCATCTGAGAGTTTGACAAGGCCTCCGAAGTTTGTAGAACAAACTTGTACGCCGTTCTTTCTGGGAGATGAGCCTAGACCTCCTCCTGAAGCCATTAGCCCCATTGAGAAGCCGCCACAACTGCGACGGAGGATGAGCATGGCTGGTGCCGTGGTGGGTGCTTGAGCGCGTCGGAGTCCAGGGACCCTGGGCTTGGTAATTTTCCTGGGCCCGGCTGCCGGGCTCAGAAGCCAAAAGCCGTCAAAAGACGAAAACAGAAGGACAACGCAACACCACGAGCATGAATGGGGGGCGGGCGGAACAGTGCAATACTACAGGAAGTACACGGACCATGGAGCAACCTGCCTCCACCATCCCTGACGAAGGATACGATTTAGATACGTCTTGGAGGCCAACAGCGTTTTCAAGAGTTGCCCTTGGGTCTTTGAAAAGGGAGTGAAGCAATTTCTTGTCGTTAAGATCTGTCTACAGGGCACAGACCTAAGCCCAGGCTTCCCAACCCCCTCCTGCGCTGCTTTTGCCAACAGAATGCACAGCCCTCCTCTCCCCGACTCTCGGACCCTGGAACCTGCCAACTCTTGAAGCCTCTAACCCCAAATAGAAACTGCCAGAACCGAGATGTCTGGCTGGAAGGTGCTCGGCATCGGTTTCGTGCTGTAGCGCATCATGAGTTTCGTTAGGACTGCATAGGCTTGACTGTGTAGGTGTTCAAACACTCCGCTTGGTCTATCTTGCCTCGGCTCAGACAAAAGCACAACATCAAATGAGACCAAGTCCCCCGCCAGATTCGATTTGGAAGATCCGAGGTCTGTATCAATGCTACTTAACTTCACTGTCTGTGCAGAAAGCTGACGTCTGCCTCTACAGCCCGCAGGGCTTCACAAAACGGGCTCGCTTAAGAAGTCTTCTGTGATATTTCCACAGCGGCCCCGCCTGGGCTCCAGAGTCTCCGATGGCGTTATTCGCCAGCCTCAGATCCTTCGCCGGGCGGGGCTGGTAGGAATGCGAACTTGTGGCATCTCAGAGCTCAGAGAAGATGCGGCCGCACGGCGATTTGAGGCTTGCTGCTACCCTGGGCTTCAGCTTTGGGGCGATTCAGATCGAGGCTTCGGGGCAGATATCTCGCACTGCACCGCCTTGAGTTTTTTTTTTTAATGAAGTCAACAGACGTGATGACCATGCACAAGCTATGCCGCCATATCCTTCCAAGATGCCTTGCAAGCTGACCGACCGCGGCTAAAAACTATCGTTGTCGTTGTGATACACCATGCTTTGCACTGGAAGCTCCTTATGGGGCCCTCTTAGCCAGAAACCCTAAACATCCCGAAGCCCTAAACCGATGAGGAAGCGCGGCTAGGCAGCCCATGAACCCACAGCTTCGACCGAGGCTCCAAGATCCCTTTCAAACTTCGGGGGGGAAGATTCCTTCAACTCGCGGTTTAGGGTTCAGGCCTTTATAGGGTTTGGAGGAACCCTACAGCTATTCAAAGGAATTTCCTTGCTTAAGGGTTTTTGGGCTGCCCTTCACATTTGATCAGTCAAACCCGACAAGCATGCCCAAGCAGAGCTCCCCGGCGACCTTTACAAACCCCGGCGGAGACTGGCAACTGGCGGTCCTCGATGTTCGGGAGAGCTTTCAGTGCTTCTCCCAGGGCCTCTGCACGCGAGGAAGTTTGGGGAGAGCGGGTCTTGGAAGTTGGGAGGGCCATGTCCCGGACTTTGACTCGTCACAGTCCGAGGCTCTCAGGATAACTCCGCAGGAAAATGCTTTTTGTACGCACTTAGACGGAACAGGCAGTGCACCTGCACCGAACAAATCCCAACTTGATCAACTCCAGGCCTGCGTCCCCACATCCCCGAGGCCGTTCTTGGAAAGGTCTAGGTCTCGTAGGTTCTCGTGGTCTGCGAGGCCCTCGGCGATGGCCTGCGCACAGGCAGACATGCACCTTCGGCCTTGAAACTTGCAACTTGCCATCACGCAGCCGGATGTCCAAAATGTCTTCAGGGCCTGCCGACTCCAAACCTTTTCCCGCTCCCAAGGCCTGGAGCCCGCTGTCGCCGATGCGATTGCCGAACAGATACAGCACCCGCAGCGAGGAGTGGCCGCCCAAACCAGCTCCAAGCGCCTCCCGCAGGCGACCGAATCTATAGGACTCTTTGTCTTTTGGAAACGGTGTAGGCATCATGGGCTGGCCGGGCAAGTACCCTTATCCGGGGATTCTATAGGATAGCCAAGTTCTGTTTCCTAGGCTTGGCGGCACGTGGTTGTAGAACCCTCCCACAAACTGGGAAAGTCCTTGCTGAAACCCAAGGCATATCCTCTCCGCAGGGTCTCCCGCACCCGACCCCCCCTCCCCCGCGGGCTCGCGCATGCAGGCCAACAAAGGGGGCGTAGAGTACCGACAGCTTTCTATTTGCATAATATACATACAGAGGAAAGGAGGTTGAAAGTTCATGGCGGTAAGAAACTATATGCTTGGCGCAGGACGAGTATTGGAATTGCGAAAGTACTTCAGTGGACAAGATCTCTTATCTTCGATCCTTAAGGGGGGCCAACCCCTCACTTGTGACCATAAAATCTTCTCACTTGTGACTGTTTTTTTCTCTCACCTGTGACTATAAAATCTTCTCACTTCTGACCGTTTAAAGCTCACTTACGACCATGAATTCTAAAAAACACGCAGCTCCCGCGCGAGAGGGGTCAAAAACTCACTTGCGTCTATTTTTTGGGGGGGTGGCTCACTTGTGACTATTTTTGTAGTCACAAGTGAGTGTTGATTTTGGGGACTTTGCTTTGGCATTTCTAGCAGATGGACGGAGGCTCGTCTCTGCGGAGCTTGGTCCGGGCTTCTCCCGGTGGCCCCTCCTAAGGTCCTGATGCCTTCCTGCACGGCTCGAGCCTTCACAGGGGGTTATGGCCTGATTGGCTGGATTTGGCCATCCACATGTTTGCTCGTGAATGGACGCCCTGGTCTGCTGGTCTTTCATTTTCTCCAGTGACGTGTCGCAGCCTCCTTGCTGGAAATCCATGCCGATACCCTACTGCAACCTCGCCGCAGACCATGGATACCCACATGCATCCACAGGCCACCGCAACAAAAACAACTTTTCAAAATGCTTCAAGGTGCGCGCAGCTTTTGCCCATCGTTTGAAGTCTATAGACCTCTTCCTCAGCTAGCTCCATTGAGAAGCCGCCACAACTAAGATGGAGGACCAGCATGAAAGTTTCCTCCGGTGCGTTTTGCTTTTGAGTACCGGTTGGTGCTTGACTGCGTCGTAGTTTGGGCCCTGGGTTTGGCCAGCTGCCGGGCTCAGAAGGCAAAATCACCGAAAAAAAACAGAAACACAGTAACAGTGCACCGCTACAGGAAGTGCACGGACCACGGAGCAACCTGCCTCATCCCTGGAGAGTCTAGATGCAACTTGTCGAGTTTTCGGCATGACGCAGTGTCTTGTCTCAGTCGTTTACATTGATTCCGAGTTTTTGCAAGACTCTGCAATTACTTAATTGTGCGGGAGATTGGCTCCTGCCACTGGAAAGCCCCCTCCCAAACGTTTCGAGGGCTTCCACACGACGTCAGATCTCGAGAGGACACGCAAGCCCAAAGCGGCACCCTGCATCCCGTAGAATGTGTAAATGCAGTCTCTTAAGAAGTCAGATCTCTTTTTGTTCCAGCCCTCCCGCGCGATCACGGCAAAACGCTTTGGATGAGTGTTTGCAAGCTCCATGCAGCAAATCCCGATAGAAATTGTCTCTGACCACATGCATCCACATGCCGCCTACAAGAGCCTCCTGAACACGTTCTGTGCACTTTCTCCTTTGCCCAGCACCCACTCCTCTCACCCCCCGGGCCCGTTTTAAAAAAGAGGTGGGGACTGGGCGCCGAACCTATTTGGGCTCCAAGAAGTTTGTCCAGTCTAGCCGCCACTTTTAAAACCCAACGCTTCAGCAAATCTTCAGACTAAAGTTTAAAACACGATCTTCGTTTCAAGGCTCAGCCGCCGAAATTTGGCAATGAGTCGTGCAGTCTACACCCCACTTTCCCCTGCTTTAAGGCACGCCCTCCCGAATGGCAGAAAGACCCGTGCCAGCCGTCTGAAATGTTGGACTTCAAAGCTTCCGGAGTCGGTGTGACAGGGCTTGGGCTTCCTGCTTTCTTGTGGATCTTTCATACCCTCAAGAAGCGCCACGAAAATCGGGGGAGGACACCGCGGAGAACCGGTCCCCACTTTTGAGAGGCAGCCACACTTCGGGAGAGGCAGAGCAGGCGGAGCGGGTGCGCCCCCACCTCGGCCTCTGCATCTCCGAAGCCGGAGTTTATCAGCTTCAGCTGCCGCAGGCGGCTCCAGGGCAGCGCGCGCACCAGGGCCTGGCGCGGGGAGAACAAAAAAGGAAGCTGCAGAGGGCTTATTCGGAGCTTATAAGCTTTACAAAAAAGTCTTGTAGGATTTGCAGGGCCTTTATGCGATTTTCCTGCAATTTAAGAAAGAAAGGAATGGGAGGCTCGGGGCATGCTCTGTAGAGGGGGGGGGGCGCTCTCCTGCCTGGAAGGCCTCGCCGGCCAGCTCGCTGCTGCCCACATACAGCTCCCCCAGCCGCGCGTAGTGCGGCAGCGCCCGGGCCAGCACCTGGACCTGGGCTTCGGGCAGGTGCGCCAGAGCCAGCCCCGTGGCCTCCAGCGCCTTCTCCCGAAAGACCTGGGCCTGGAGCTGCAGCACCGGCTCCAGGTCCGACCTGTGAGTGAACTTCAGGGTCCCCCTCTCCGCTTGGGCGCGGAACTCCGAGGGCGCCATGGGCGCCTCTGAGTTCCGGCCTTCGCGGAAGGGGATCCTGATGCTCTTCCAGGGGGCAGTCCGCGCCAGCGACCACTGCACCTCCGCCCTGCACCAGCCGCGCTGCAGGTACGGCGTGCTGTTGCGGTGCAGCTGCGGGCAGGGCGGGCTGCAGCCGAAGTGGCATCCCGCACCGCAGCTACCTGTCTCGTCGGTGTCCCGCAGCTCGGCCAGCGCCACATCCGTCACGGCGTTGTCGGGGAGGTAGAAGACCTTAGCGGTCCCAGGCAGCTCGGGCCCGGGCCGGTCGTGGAGGCCGGGCGTCAGGTCCTCGATCCTTAGCGACCAGGTCGTGTCATGGGCGTACAACAGGTGCATGTTGGCCATGCCCTTCGCGAAGTAGACGTCCTGATGGGAAGCGCATCTGTAGGCATCGCAGGCCCTCATGTCCCCCCAACCGCCCCCTCACCAGAAAGCAACACAGAAAATGGCACAAAAACGACGCATGGCTCAACTACACTCAGCCCTGTCCAAGCCCATCCTGCTCTTCAGTTCTTGGGAACTGGTACAGAGACATGTAATCCACAAAGATGGCCGCCTGACACGTGTCCGCATTTGGCGCTGCACTTTACTCACATGCATCTAGCCATGATCTGAAAGGCTTCTTAGGGGTGTGGAGGCGGCAGGCAACAAGCTGCTCTCAGCTGGGCCGTTTCAAAGAGCAGCTTTTTGGGAGCCTCAGGGCATCTCAGGGCTCCACTCGCACATGCGAAATGACCTTCCCTACCTTGCAAAAAAAATGTGTTCCGAGCAGTGCCCAGTTGCGCCTCCCAGTCCTTAGCGAGGTTCTGGGCCGGGGCGATCTTCTGCAGGATCTTCGCGAAGGTGTCAAGTGCTTCTACCAGCACTCGCAGCCTCAGGCGCTGCAGCGGAAGTGACAACAGAAGAGGAACTAGTCTCTTCAAAATCAGACAAAGGGATGGCTACTGCACACAGTTTACAGTTACAGATTGCGAACCTGAGCCACTGAGCTGGGGCTCCCTGCTGGAACCTGGCCACGTCCGGGATCTCGCGGCTCTCCCACGAGTGCGAAAGAGCCATGACCGAGAAGCGGTGCGTTGTGCCCACCTGGCCACCCGGCAGCTTCGCCTCCAGCTCCTCCTGGGCCAGCAGGGCCGGGAGGCCGTCCTTCGTCCGCATGCCCTCGGCTTCCTGGCGCCGGGGCATGGTGCGGGCCTCGGCCAGGAGCTCCCGGAGGAAGTCGGCGCGGACGAGCCGCACCTTGGCATCCCGGCAGTACGCCAGCAGGCCGTTCTCGTCCCGCAGGCTGTAGATGGCTACCTGCGCAGCCTGTGCAGGCGCGGCGAGCTTGCCAAGCTTGGGGTGCTCAAAGTGCGAGAGTGTGTGACATGAAGCCGTCTCGTGATGATCTGTGGAGACTGAGTCGCTTGTTACCGAGGCGAATGGGCTTCGTGCCCAGCATGAACACGAACACTTGCGCTAGAATTGGAAGCTCTCAAATTTCTGGCAAAAGCAGCCTTGGGACTTGGTCGGAACGGCTCTCCCAGACAAGTACACGGCATACAGTAGCAAATTGCCGGGCATCGCAGACTACTACACAAAGCCTGAACAAACATTAGAACAATGCATTGCCGCACCCGAGCCCATCCCTCGGTTCACAGAAAAGGATCCCGGAAACGGAGCGGAAGAACCCTCAAGAGCAGCCGCGTGGCCTCGGCTTTGGACTCCGGCTCCTATCCCACTTGCACACACATAGCACACATCTCCGATACTGCACTGCTGCCAACATAACGGAAACCGCTCTTCGTCCTCCTTGGCGGGCTTGGAGGGCTCAGCAGCTTCCTCGGCGTCTGTGGCTCATGCTAAGCTGCTAAGAATCCCGCATCCCCGACGTCCAAAAGGAGGGTATCAAACAGGTGAATGAGGTCACAAACATCACGGACCGAAGTCGAGCTACTACTGTTGGGATCTGCCATCAAGCCCAAGGAGCTGCCTCTGCAGGTTGATCGGCGGGAGGTGCCTCCCTCACACCACCTCCAGATCCTTCCGGGGTCCGACATGACACGCCGATGAGCAGCTGACTCAGGCTCATAGCCCTGTATACGTGTGCGAATGGTCCCTGCTGCGAAGAGCCCCGGAGCCCTGAGCAAGTTTCCGGCCTGCCGCCTGGCTCAGGGCCTGCCAAGTCTGCACGCAAGAAATCATCGCGCTTGCAACGACCAAAATTTGCGATAGAAGAAGGCCTCAAGCACTCAGTGTCTGGGCACCACTGCGCAGAATTCAAGGTACAGGCTGTTCATAATACACAAGTATGGCATGACCACTGTCTGGCCTTTTGGGGGCCTTTTGGGGCCTTTGGGGCTGATTGGATGCGATCTGCTTGACCCACCTACCGACACATGAGTCATAGGCCCAAGCCTGGGCTGCATCTCATGCAATGCCCCTTTCCGTTTACGAGTTGGGATTTTCCCCCTTATACCTATAGCAGCCCTTGATAGGGATATATAGGGATTATAGTACCCAACACCCCAACTTATGAGTGTTTGAAAGCCCTAAGCACCCAACACCGTCTGGATCCACGCGCAAAAGTCCGGAATCCACTCGACAAAGCTTGCCAGGCCCTGCATGCTCAAAGCAGAACCAGCACCTGCCGAAAGCGCCCAGAATTCGAGCCAACATCCCCAAGGCTCTCAGCAGGATTCAGTGGAGCTCCGGTGGCTAGCGGAACTGCCAGCCAGGATCAGCAAGGAAAGTGGCAGGAAGGTAGTACACTGCTCATCACTGCTCTTTAGAGGATATCGGACCGAGGTTGGCGGAGCGTGGTGAGACTGCAGAACCGGTTCCTGCACCACACAGCTCACACAGACCCAGGGCAGCCCGTGAAACCCCCGACGTGCCCAGGATCTGCAAACCCGGGCGCACATATCGCTTGAGTGTGCGTGGGCATCCGAAAGCCGGAGCCGGAGGGCAACGCAGCCAAAGGCTTGCTGCTGTCATTCTGAAGTTGAAGGCTGGATGGAGCTCAACAGCTTTTCAGACCGGGTGTGCATGCTAAAGTACCGGGTCTCGGCAAAAGACAGCATCCCACCAAACTGTTGGTGTATGTGAGAACAGCCATGATAAGGCCGAGGCGGTGGCTGTTTTGGGGGAAAATGATATTTGGTGGGCCTGTTGTGGCCCTTTGGAGGCCCAACACGCACGCCAATTCCTGCACGAGCCCTAAACCAATGAAACCTAAAACCCTATAATGAAGCCTTTATAAACCCTGCAAACCCGATAAACCCTGCAGACCCAACAAAACCCTCAGCACACCTAAGAGCCCAAAACCGCCGAACCACAAGCGCCGCAAGTCCAAGCACTGGACATGCCCCCACTGGCCTCGGACGGACCCCCGGATCTCCAGAAGAAAGCGCGAATACCCGGACAGCGGCAACCTAGGAACATGTTATTGTGAGGGCTCAGGGTGCTTGGGGTCTCTGGGTTAGGGGAGGTCCTGATTTCCAGCGCGCGCATGACCCTTCACAAAACCCAAATATGATAAATATGTCAGCCTCAAAATCATATGCTATGGACATGACCTTTAAAAGCCCAAGACGGGTTTAATGGTCACAACCCTTGAAAGGACCAAGACGGGCGACATGTAACCCCAAGGGCCTAGCCTGTTTCGCGAATCACTGTATGCCCTACACAAAAGAACGACAGTCTGAACTCGATAAGACCTTCATCCTATACGGCCCACCCTAAACCCTAAACCCTAAACCCTAAACCCTCAACCCTCAACCCTCAACCCTCAACCCTCAACCCTCAACCCTAAACCCTAAACCCAGCAAAATCACAACTCCGTTTCGCCGGGTTCGGTGTTTGTAAGACTTCCGCCTAAACCCTGAAGCCCTTCAGCCCTAAAACCCTAAAGCAATCCCCAAGCCCGAAAAGCACGACCCCCAAACCCTAAGCACTTGAAGTTGCTCGAACCTTTGAGGAGAGACGAAGCTCGGCTTTAAGGATTTGGGGCTTCAGGGGGCTCGTTTGGGGGTTTCAGGGGCCTACTGTTCGGGGATGCTGTCCTTCCACAGGAGACAGCTCTCAATCGAATTTGCACCCTTACCTGCAGGTCTAGTGAGGGGATGAGGGGATGTGGGGGACTCTATCCCTATTGGGAGAAGAAAGAAACCGATGTGGGAGAAGAGGCGTCAGGGGTGACGACAAGGGACAGTGCAGCGTGCCCTCCTCCTTTCTATACCAATCCCTAAACCCAAAAATCCTCTGGACGCCCCCCTTAAACCCTAAATCCAATAAACCCAAACCTAAAAAAACGCGCAGCTGTTCAAAAATCCCAAGAAAAGTCCTCAAGATCCGAACCCTGTAGCTGCCCGGTGTGCCCTGCTTGGGCAGCAACCTCACCCCAAAGCACAGCAAGGGAGGTTTACAGGGGCTTATACGTTTTAGGGTATGGGGTATATAAATATAGGGTACTGTATTGGATACAAAGGGTTTGTAGGGTTCTAGACAGTCATATTATATACATATATCTATCTATCTATCTATCTATCTCTCTAATATATACGTTTTGGGTATGGGATATATAGGGTTTACAGGGTTCTCGACAGTCAGCGAATCGCCGCAGGGGCGCCGAGTAGACCTTTCCGGCGTCCGCCCGCGCCGCCCTCATCTTCGTGATGGTCGGACCTGCTCCGTCACAGCTGTAGGGCTTGTAGGGAATATGGGGTTTATAGTGTTTGTGGGGTTTATAGAGCGTTTACGGGGTTTATGGGGGTTTATAGGGTTTATGGGGTGTTTTTGGGGTTAAAAGGGGTTCATGGGTTTATGGGGTTTGTAGGGTTTAAGGAGTTTAGGGTTTGGGGTTACTTCTTCTCAGAACTGAGGCTTCAACGAGCGCACTCCATGTGCGGGATGGGGCGGCCCCACCTCCACCTGCAGGCGGGCAAGCTTGTCGCTTCTTAAGGCCGCGGCCGGGTGCACAGGAGCCTCCACCTGTTCCGTGCCGCTCGGCACCGGCACGCTGACCTGGGCCGAGTCCATGGAACTTTCCAAAGAACAAAGCCGCAGTGGCAGTCACAGTGCGCCTGAGGCAGCCCAGCGGAAGAGGGTGGCTCCATCGCTGGCCTTGAGGACCTCGAGAAGCGGGCGAAGAGCAAGTGAGCGAAACGAAGATCGTGAGATTAACGCCATGTGGAACGGTTGCGTGGGACTCTGAGCAATTAAGCTAGTCCGGCAACAACGAAGCCCGAAGCAGGACTCAAAGTCTCATCCCGATTACGCATGCCCGGGATGCATTGCATCGTATACGACGAGATCGCGCGAGAACGCACAAGATAAGAAGACTGCATTTTCATTGTATCCCTAAACCCTAAACCCTAAACCCTAAACCCTAAACCCTAAACCCTAAACCCTAAACCCTAAACCATGCTAGAATGTTTGAGAATACTGGGCAATCCCTGCCAAGCCCAGGCTTCGGCCAAATCCACGCCGTCGGGCTTCCAGCACGTTGGCTGGCAGAGCACCAAGACCCGAAATTGCTGCGAGCAAGACCTAGCGCAGGAGCGAGTATGGTATACACAGTAAAAGATGCCAGGTATTGAGGGACTCGAGGTTTACAGTGGCTTATAGGGGCCTATTGGGGGGCTTGGGGCTTGGGGTTTAGTTTGCATTTTTGCAATAGACCTCTTCTTGCTGTGGCGATGCTGCGAGTCTGCATGGTCCCGCTGTGCGGGGGCGAGTCTAAATTCCAGGCCTGTTCACGGTCTCTACTGGTATCATATACCTTCCGAAAAGCTTAGGGTAATTGCGCGACAAAGCCTACCCCTTGCGCACTTAAGGTTTAGGGTTGAGGGGCTTAGGGTTTAAGCTTTAGGTTGAGGGTTTAGGGAAGCTTTAACGGATAAGGTTTCGATGTGCCACCAACACAGCTACCTGCCTCGACTTAGGGTTTAGGGGTTTAGGCTGGTGCAAGACTGCGCAAGGAGGTGAGAGGTCTAGGCTCCGGGGAATAAGGTTGTAGAGCTTTAGTGATTGTAGGTTTTATGGGGCCCTGCCCTAGGGGGTTTATAGGTTTAATGGGCTTTATCGGGTTTGTAAAAGTTCAGCCCTAGGAGGTCTGCGTTCACGAGGGAAGGATATGTATGCGTTTTTTGCTTTGTTTCCCCTCGGGCCTCGGGCCGGAAAGCGCATTGGCGGGCTTGGGGTTTCGAGTTTGGGGTTTTAGGGTTTGGAGCTTGCGAAACAGCATTGTCAATGACGCAACGGCTCGTTTCTCCCCAATAGGTTTGAGACGGGATCCCCTTGGCACTCTACACAAGTCCTGCCAGCACCATGCTAAACGGAAAAGGGTAGGAACAACATTTGCGGGTCAAAATTTGCCGGGATCCCCTTGGCGCCCTGCAAAAGTCCTGCAAATACAGCACAAAACGGAAAAGGGTAGGAACAACTTTGCCGGTCAATATTTGTCGGGATCCCCTTGGCACCCTGCACAAGTCCTGCAAATACCACACAAAACAGAAGAAGGTAGGAACAACATTTGGGGTTCAAAATTTGGCGGGACAGCCTGCAAAGGTCTTGCAAATACCACACAAAACGGAAAAGGGTAGGAACAACATTTGCGGGTCAGAATTTGCCGGGATCCCCTTGGCGCCCTGCAAAAGTGATGCAAATACCACACAAAACGGAAAAGGATAGGACCAACAGCTGAGGGCAAAATTTGCCGGGATCCCCTCGGCGCCCTGGAAAAGTCTTGCAAACACCACACAAAACGGAATAGGGTAGGAACAACATTTGCGGGTCAAAATTTGCCGGGATCCCCCTGGCTCCTGCAAAAGGCTCCCTGCAAAAGTCCTGCAAATACAACACAAAACGGAAAAGGGTAGGAACAACTTTGCCGGTCAATATTTGTCGGGATCCCCTTGGCACCCTGCACAAGTCCTGCAAATACCACACAAAACAGAAGAAGGTAGGAACAACATTTGGGGTTCAAAATTTGGCGGGACAGCCTGCAAAGGTCTTGCAAATACCACACAAAACGGAAAAGGGTAGGAACAACATTTGCGGGTCAGAATTTGCCGGGATCCCCTTGGCGCCCTGCAAAAGTGATGCAAATACCACACAAAACGGAAAAGGATAGGACCAACAGCTGAGGGCAAAATTTGCCGGGATCCCCTCGGCGCCCTGGAAAAGTCTTGCAAACACCACACAAAACGGAATAGGGTAGGAACAACATTTGCGGGTCAAAATTTGCCGGGATCCCCCTGGCTCCTGCAAAAGTCCTGCAAATACAACACAAAACGGAAAAGGGTAGGAACAACTTTGCCGGTCAATATTTGTCGGGATCCCCTTGGCACCCTGCACAAGTCCTGCAAATACCACACAAAACAGAAGAGGGTAGGAACAACATTTGGGGTTCAAAATTTGGCGGGATCCCCTGGGCAGGCAAAAGCCTTGCAAATACCACACAAAACGGAAAAGTGTAGGAACAACTTTAAAGACATGATGTTACATGTATCCAAAATTGGGGTGTCATTTCTTTTTTCCTGCGGCAAAACGCACCTCAAATGGACACCCACACCGGAGACCTCTATTTCTTGGAAGCCTTGAAAGAAAAGATGCTTCTTTGTCCACTCTCACCTTTCGTTCGTTTCATTTTCTGTCCCTTCTGTCATTTAATATGAATATTCAAATCATGCACAGTATTTAAAGCAGGGCGTCCAGGACTTTTAGAGTGTTTCGGGCGTCCTTTTCTCCCTTTTTCTGTAGCAAAACCCGCCCTAAAAGGACGTATCCAAATTAGGGTGTCCTTTTCTTCATTTTTTGTAGCATAACCCACCTCAAATTCACACCCACACCGGAGACGTCTATTGTTGGAAGCCCTGAAAGAAAAGGTGCTTCTTTGTCCACTCTCACCTTTCGTTCGTTTCCTTTCTGTCCCGTTTGTCGTTTAAATATGAAATATATTCAAATCATATTTGAAGAAGGGCGTCCAAGACTTTTAAAGTGGTTCGGGCGTCCTTTTCTTCCTTTTTCTGTAGCAAAACCCATCCTAAAGGACACCCACACCAGAGACTCCGATGTTTTGGAAGCCTTGAAGGGAAGGCACTCGCTTTTTCCACTGTGGCCTTCCTTTCTTTGTATTTCTTTGTGCAAGAGCAAGTAAAAGACAGAAATGATGTTACATGTATCCAAAATCAGGGTGTCCTTTTCTTCTCTTTCTTCTGTAACAAGACCCACCTTAAAGGACACCCACGCCAGAGACCTCTATTTTTTGGAAACCTTGCAAGAAAAGGTGCTTCTTTCACACCGCAACGTTGGCAGG